AAATTCTCAAATTTTATATCTGGCCTTAATATGGTAAATAGGAAAGCCAATGAGATTTGCATAAGCCGGGTAGTCAGGAAAGTTTTAAGGATCAGATCATACTTTTGCACTATTAAAGAGCAGGCCGGGTAGGTGGGGCTCGTCAGCCATGGAAGGCAGCCCATCTAGGAGAAGGAAAACTCCGATTTCAAACCTCCACTGCCTTGTGGCTATATCCACTCATGGAAAAGGCTTCAGGAGTTAACCTCGAGGCAAAATCCGGAGCTGGAGTCCCGAAGGCAGCATGTGTCGTTCTGCCAACTCCTGCGACGTTGCTGGAACCAGTTGTATTGGCTCTTGCCTTTCCATTGGACCATTTCAGCAATGTGGAGAGGGGGGATCTGCTGCTTGGGTAACAGCCTATCCTCCATATTACCTTACCCGGGCTTCATGCTCTGGAGAGGACACTCCTCGATTCAGAGCATGTTACCATAGTCTCTCGAGACTGAAGGATGCCTATGCTATGGAATCATGGTAAGAGGCACACCACTATAAACCAAAAAAGCATGCAGGTTACAGAAAGAGCTTGGTACTCTTACCCAGTGTAAGAGTGGGGTAAACATCCTGAGCTGTGAGTGGCTCTATATACAAAGTGGCTTGCTTGGCTCCATAAAGTGGGCTGTATCTTAGTGCTAATAATTTGCTGTGTGACAAGTTCCCATTGGAAAAGCCTACTAAGATACAGGGACTGCTCTGGAGCATCATGAGAAACCTAAACTCTTGCAGCAGAATCAAGACATACAGACATGCAGAAATATCAGTGTCTTCCCTAATTATAAGTGAAAAACTTGCTGTTTTAGTGATTATGCAAAATTCTGCACATATCCAAATTGGATATTGATGACATAAAATCCTGTATGTATTAACCTCAGTTCTGAAATGGACAGATCTTTGATGGGGTTCCATACTCAAAGATTTGCTTAGTCTACAATCTCTTTGTGGCTCCCATTCAATAGAATCATCAAACACCAATCCCATCTTACCCTATGTCTTAAAATCAGCCAGAAAATGTAGAAGATATACGTATCCTTCTAGGTCCTTTTAAAATGAAAAGTATAAGCGTATTTTAAACATCACAGTACACGAAAGTACAACAGAACATGTATATTTTTTGCTTAGAATATTTGCTTACTTTGCATCCCAAACATGATCACCTCTGTGAAAGATGACCAAGTTACTTTTAGGATCCAGCGCCACTCCAGAAACCTGGCCCAGTTTGAGATTTACCCCAGGCCAGTCAACAACTTCTTCTATGTTAAAATCTGAAAAGGAAAAAATGAGTTACAAGCACTATGTTAGTAAGAGACCTTTCCTGTAAGATACTTTCTTCACAAGATATTCTGTAAACCAGCGATTGCTTTCAGAATGTAAGTTCTCAACTGTTTTTAATTTGTGTATGCCACTTAGTATATAAAATATTAAGTACTTGATGAAGTATAAATCCAAATAATCAATAAAATAAAATACGGTACACATAGATAAGTTCCCAAAAAAGTTATGTTCAGTGGTATACTTCAAGGCATATATGCTTAGGACTGCAGCCTTTGACTGCTTTAAGAGTTACACAAGAAGGGCAAAATACTCTTGTGTAAAATTTGCACCATGCACGTTAAGTGAGACTATCATCTGGTGTTGGTAATTTTTTAATTTAATTTTAATTTATATTAGTTGCAAGCTTCTTATTCTCCACTTTCAGTTCCCAAGGGTCCTCAGAGCCAAAAATTGCCTCTTAATTTTAATTTTTAAATTAAAAATTCCCTTTGCTGAATGCTGACCTCAGCAGGCAAAGCTTGAGCAGCGTAACTTTACAGCAATAGGATTCTGCCTGGTAAACATTGCAGTGTATTGAAGGTTGATTCTACTCTGGGAGGAACCTTGCCGCAAAAGCACACAACAAATTTTATCCTAGCTACATGCCCAAGTAAAAGATAAAGTTACCCTAATGATACAGCACCAACAGCTTATTTATAAGGGTTTAATTGGAAGTAATTTCCACTTGTTTAGATGGAACATTTCCAAGTAAATGTGCCTTTGACTGGAGTGAGATCAAGCCAATAATCACACCTGTCACTTGTCAGCACTGAATACTTAACCTCTGGCTTCTAACCCTGATGTTCTCTCAGGAGGAAAACAATGAAAACACACAACAGACCTTAGCCAACCTGCATTTACCAGTAACTTATCATATACAGCAGTCACAAAACCTTTGTTCAGAATCTGTTTGTAGGGTGATAATACGTAATTAAAAAACCTAGTCCACCAGCCGGAAGAGTTCAGCTGATTTGGACTCTGATCATTTTAAATTAATATGCCTAAACATCTTAATATACCTTTTTCCCCCTTGACACCACTGAAAAACTGTGCCTTTCAATATAGCTGTTCTCAACAGTGTTAATTTATACTGTGAAAAGAGTAAATAATGAAAAAAAGCATGTGGATAAATGAAAATTATAAGGAAAAAGAACCACACAACAAAAACTGTGTTCACATCACTATCTTGATCCTAACACATGGGTTGATTTAAAAGCCTCCAATAAAATTATTCTCTTCAGAAAAGATGTCCCTTTCTATAATTGGGATTCTGCCATTAGGCTGTATTTTGCTCACTTCAGCAATATCCGCCTATTTGCCAAGTCTTTTAGCCTGCTGAAAATGCTACAGAGAGGGTCAAGAGACCCTGCTTGGGTGGGCTGAACTATGATGCAGAGAGGGCGAGAAGGATTTGCAAAAATCAGGTGGAGTGGAGCCCTTCTAGCCTTCACAGATTTTGGATCTACACTGGATCGGTTTCTCATATTTGTACAAGCACACTGTTTGCTTGGCAATAAACCACAGGGAAGACTAGCTGATGGCTTACAGTGCACCCTTTATTCCCAACATATTTCTCTACATAATCTTTTACTTCAGCCACACATATACGTACTGCTGAACATCCATTACATGCCAAAATGCAGTGAGAAATTAAAATAGCACACATTGGCACCAGGTTAATGCCATGGAAAATTGCACTTATTAAAGAAAAACAACCAGAACCAATAATTTCAAAGTGTAGACAATATCACCATTGATAGTTTGCAACAGAAAAATTAAAGAAAATGAAGCAAAAAAAAAAAAAGAGCTGTTCTTAGTATTTTGAAACTTACACATAGGTCAACTGCTATGCATCCAGTTCTAATGGGAAATGCTTTCTACATGAAGGATCATTAAGGTTTTCACCTTAGTGAAAAAGACTGAACTATATTTCAAAATCATCACAATGAACAAAGCAAGAGGTGACTTCTGAGACTTCTTCTATGAGCAATTTCCCACAACTAACTGTAATCAATCTTAGTATAAAAGCTGTCACACAGTAACTAAATATAGTCATTTTGCCAAGACATGCTTAAACAAGCTTAAACTATGATTTCATGTCAGGTCCGAAATGACAAATCGCAATCTGAAATCAGCAAGCAAACCGGAATCAGAAAGCACCGTTTGGCAACGTTGCATTAAGCCACACTATCTGCTTACTCTGGGGTTGTCATAAGTCCTGAACGTATAAAATACAATTACGGCTCTCACTCTGTCTTCAGACACCACTATATTGCAGAAATTAGACTAAACTTATAAAGGTAAGTGCTAGGAAGATAGAGTATGAAAGCCAATACGCAGCTCTAAACCACAATTTGGATTCCGAACAATGATCAGCAGGACCATTATATGATAACCTAAACTGTGCTATCACTGGTGTCCATGTAAACAGCTTCTAGAGCAGTCTACCTATATGACCAATGTGTATGTTAATGAAGGGACTTGCATGGCGAGATTAGAGCTCTTTGTCCCTGGAGGAGGAATCAATGCAATTTGTCTTACTAAGAAAGAAAAGTGACATTCTTAGCAACACTCTTCCAGTTAAACTACATAAGAATAGAGCATGGATTATTTATATAGTTAAGCCAACTCAAATCAACATCAGTACCAGTCCTGTATTTTGAAAAAAAAATTACTTTAATGTGAAGAATTATGCTTACACATTCATAAAGAGAAGCCCTCCTTACCACAAACAAAATACTGTTACAATTTGATAGGGTACTCTGTCTTTGAAGTTGCTATATTCTGTTTTTATTAGTTTAGCAAAACATGGTAACACTTTGTTTCAGCTCAATTTTCCACTTATATACCCCAGAGTAAACTACAACTATTAAATTAGCCCCCCTCTTTTTATTTTACAAGATTTGGTGCAAACAAGGCAATTCACAAGGTCCAATATACAGTATTTGTAATAAGGGTACAGACAACTCTGCTATAAACTAGAGGGGACAGCTTACATATAGAGGGCGAAAATTCTGACCCATTGCCAGAGGTGGTAAAAATAAAATGGGCGTTGATTTAGTCACTGCCTTTTACATTAGACGAACAAAACGAATTTTTCATCAGTACCTCTGGAAAGTAATGTGCTACCTTATATTAAAGCAAAACCACACATCTTTGGATATTTTCTTCTACTTTTGATAATATGGAGCAACCTGATATTGTTGGACGCTGTGAGACAAAAATACCCCTAACCCACCTCCTGTAGGTTCTTTTTCCCAGTTCCCTTCACCATGTTTAGGCTGCTGCAAAGTGAGATGCCTGTTCTCTGGTGGCCTCAGAGTGGATTCTAATCTGTGGAACTTGTGAATTCTGTCTCTGACAAGAATGGTATTGGCCCTTTCATCATGGCTGGAAAACTCTCTGGCAGCAGGCCAGCCAAGATCCTTCTTCTGGACTACATTAGCAATCTCAGCTACAAGGTCTGACTCTGCCTTTTCTGTTGGGTTATACTTGTGCACATGAACCACATCTTCCCTTTCTCCTAGCAGCTTGGAAATGAGTGAATAGAAATCACCTGTGTAGGGGGAAAAAAAAGAAAGAAAGAAGGATAAGAGAAAGAAGCAAAGCAGCCAGAGAGATTGCAAGGCTTTGTAGCGAATCTGAAAAAAGAACAGAAATGTTAAGTCAATCCTAAAAGCTGACTTGATTTTTAAAAGGTTGCTGCTCACAAGCAATTGACATGAATCAAAGGCAGCATCTGTCTTTAAATTTACACAACAATACCAGTGCAGAACTAAAGCAAATGAGAACCCTCACCTCTAGAAGTTCAATTGTGAGGGGAAAAAGCAGAATTGCAACAAGAGACTTCAGTATGATGGAATACTGCTGTACTTACCTCTGATTGTTTATTTTAATAGCCACTCAGTTATAGCTCCAGATATAAAAGCAGCCCTTCATTCACAAGAACACAACCTGTGATGTGAAACCAGTTTGGAATAAAATGTGTCTTTTTTATTATGAAAGTTGCACAAATACCTCTGTAAATGCTGTTTGTAAGCCAAACAGGGCTTAGTATTTTTGTACTTTTCCCTTCCTCTCTTCAGGTTTTGTGGAACATTTACCAGATAATGAAAAATCTGTTTACTAATCTTCAATTCTTCTTTCTAATAAATGCACACTGGATAGACTGCTCTTCCATAAAATTCAGATATCTTGAGTTTAATTTACATAATATGTATTTCTTTCTGGGGCATTAGTTTAAATAATATCTATTTTATTCTGATTCCTCAAATGAGCCACTATATTTTTTTTCCAAAAATCCAGTTAACTAGTTTCCCTGTGCTTGATAATTTTGTCATGTAGTATATAAAATAGTACATATTTTAATTTTAAGGCATAATTTTGTCATGGTGGCTGGATAGCTCAGTGAGTTGGATTTCTGGCTGTAAAACCATTTTTTTCCAAAAATCCAGTTAACTAGTTTGCCTGTGCTTGATAATTTTGTCATGTGGTATATAAAAATAGTACATATTTTAATTTTAAGGCAAAATTATGTCATGGTGGCTGGATAGCTCAGTGAGGTAGATTTCTGGCTGTAGAGCCGCAGGTTGGGAGTTCACTTCCCCACTGTGCATTCCAGTAGACTCAGCCTCTATAAGTCTTGGGCAAGCTGCACAGTCCCAGGGAGCCCCTAGAAAAAGGGTAGTGCATTCCAGTAGACTCAGCCTCTATAAGCCTTGGGCAAGCTGCACAGTCCCGGGCAGCCCCTAGAAAAAGGGTATGGCAAACTACTTCTGAGTGTTCTCTACATAGGAAACCATGAAAAGTGTTGCCATAAGCCATTGTTGGCTTGATGGCACACAAATATTTTTATTTATTATACAAAGAGTCGAAAGAATGTTGCTTCCTATGCTGTCTGATTTCACTTGAGTCTGTTTCTTGTGCATTAATAGAAAGAAAGAAAGAAAGAAAGAAAGAAAGAAAGAAAGAAAGAAAGAAAGAAAGAAAGAAAGAAAGAAAGAAAGAAAGAAAGAAAGAAAATCAGTGTACAGTAAGAAAAAATAGAAGAGCCAATCTTCATAGCTTTCTATTGTTCTGGGCAAAATCCAATGGTGGATAGCTGCTGGCAGATTAGCAGAATCCAGAACAACTGGGAAGTGTCAGTTCCTTCTCTCCTCCCCATATGCTCTCAAAAATGGCTGTGGAGATCTTGAAACCACTCAGGACTGGTTTTCAAGCAGTGTGGAGATCTGCAAGGGGAGGGAGAAGGGAAAGAACTCCCATCTCAGCCATTAACACAACACTTAATTAAGTAAGGCCTTTGTGATGAATCTGCAAGTACTCCTAAGGTCCTTGCTGAACAATAACTTTAGCAAATACGGAGGTAAGAAGCAAGTCCACTAAATTTAGAGGATAATGAATGGATAGGTTAGAATTTCAATTACCTAGACTTTTAAACAATAACACTTATGGAACCATGTCATGAAATGTTCTTAAAAGTTGCATGAAGAAACAGTAATAGATAAAAATCACTAACTATCTAGGCTTCAGGTCTTTCATGAAAACTCATTATTAAGAACTCAGCAAGGGAGAAAATTAAGTATTTCAAAATGACCCTAAGAGAGTCTGTCATGTTTATAAACAATCTTGGCTCAACTGTTTCAAGTAAATTTCCAATTTCAACTGTTGAAAGGGGAATATCCCAAGTGAAATACGCTGTCAGAAAATAATTACCCGAGTTAATAGGACCAATTTTGGTGAAATGAACAAAGCAAATTGGAGCCGAACAAAATGTGTTAAGCCAACCTTACTAACATGCTTGATAAAACAGTCCTGTCAGCGTGCTTTCCTTCAGCTTGCCTTCACAAATCACAAAAATCTGTGGCTACATCTTAGAAGCAATGTTCTATTCTGATACAAAACTACAGCTTAATTGACCCACATATCTGAATCGGTAATGAAGGGTGCATGTGCATCTAGGTTGCAGCTCTTTTCTTCCTCCCTAGCAAGAAGACAGGGCCCAAAACCTGTGATCTATATTCACAAACATCCTTTATAAACAATATGATGCATGCTTGGAAACACCCAGATTAAGCAGTTTGAGAATAAAATGAGAATCCAAAAGAAGAAAGAAACTATGAAGAGTGAGCCCTATAAGGATAGGATAAAAAAAAAGAGAGAGAGAAATATTAAAACATAAGGTGCTGGAATCTGCTGGAGAATGATTGGTGGTCTGCTCCCATCTTTCCACAATTTCCCCTGGGCTTGGCTTTGCATGTATTTCAAGATGACTGGGGGGCAGCCTCAGCTATGGTCATTCATTACAGGCCAACAGGTCATATGTAAGCAGCTAGAGAGCTGGACCAGAAGGAATCAACACTTCTGAGCAAAGAAATGGCTCTATTAAATGTGCTAAGTCCCTCCCTTGGCAAAGTCAAGTTTCCTATAGTAGAAGCATATTGTCAAACTGCCTGCACTTCCATAGTCATGGCAGACTTTTCAAGCTTCTATAATTGAAATAACACCATCATGCAGATAACCATGAGTGCAGTACATACTGTACAGTATTTGTATTTAAACAAAGAAGCTCCCTTCTTTCATCGACTGCTGAAAGACAGCATCTGAAATGTGGATAATTTCTATTTACATTTTTTCTCTTTTTTAATGTTCCCTCTTTCATGTAACCTTTCTTCCACCCTTTGTCAAAATGCCTGTTTCATTCAATAGTGACATGAGGACCACTGTCAGTGGCCAATTAGAATGCCCAGGAGGAAGAGAAGACATTTTGGATTTGAAAAAGGGATTCAGTCATTCATTGTGAGTGGGTCACTATGTGCTAAATTCCTGGTGCCCTTCATCTTGGCCTGCTTTTCCAGCCTGCTTATACCTCTTGGGTTCTTTACTATTTTGCCTTTTTTTTCTCCCTTGCTTTCATGAAGATTTCTTTTAGAGAGAGAAGGGATTATTTTTGCTCTTGTTAGGCAGCATGCCTGTGCCAGCATTCTTCATTGGGATTATTTTTTGTTTAAATGTATTTTAATTACATCCCCCATCTCTTTTTCTTTTCTTGGTTTATTTTTTATTTTATTTTATTTATTTTTTATTTTTTGCTGTTGCCTGGCTGGGGCAATGAATGAATCAAACAAGCCCTCTCACTTTTATTTACAGCCTTTTGCACCCCTCCAACATTGTTGCAGGATTTTCTCAACTACATCACTGAACCTGTCCAAATGGTACAGCAAAAAGAGTATTTTTTCATTTTATCTCAGCCCGAGAGGCAAATAATTCTCTTGTTTAGAGTTCACACTAGTCTTGTATAGGCACTTTAAAACTGCTGATTCTGCATAGCCACAAGCTTTAGGCATTCTGGCTTCCGTGACAATCTCTGCCTCTCACTGCAAACAACAGTAACAAACCCCTCCTCTCCACTAAAAGAACAGAATAATCATGTAAAAATAACTAAGTAGCTTTATGGATAATTTTTTTTTTTGAAGAAAAGAAATCTCAAAAGCTTGTGCAACAAATGTTGGTAGTTTTATTTTAGCAATGCAAAATCAGATGAAGACTTTATAATGAAAACAGGAATATGTGGAAGCTCAGCATGATGTGACCTATGTCTAAAACACCTAACCATCTCTTAGATATTTGCTTAAGATAAAATTGGCTCCACAGGATGTTGGAGGAGGGAAATAGGAACTCAGCCTGCACTGGACAGAGTTACACCTCTCCTGGAAACATAAGTTTGCAGCTTGGGTAAACTCCTGGATTCATCCCAAAGCCTGGATGTCCAGGGTTCAATGGTAGTCAGGAGTCCATCTGTACAATTAAAGCTACTGTGCCACCAGTACCAGTTCCTTGAGATGTCCGGTTTGGATAGTGGCTATCAGAAGGAGTGAATATCCTCACATGAGCCTTCCTGGCTTCTACGATCTTCAGAGGAGCCTCTTCTCTTGATGCTATTGCTCTCATTGGAATGCTTGATGGCGACATAACGGAGAGCCTTTTCCTACACTGTCAAGTGCTCTCCCTTAGGAGATTACTCCCCCCCCCTTGTATACTTCCAGAAATAGTTAAAAACCTACCTTTGTAGACAGACTTTTAAGAACCAAATTGGGCAAGAGTGAGTCCATTCTAGATGCTGGGCAAATGTTCCCTTTTAATGTGTTTTTAAAACATTTAAATATCGAGCTTTTAATTACTGTTATATGTTTTATTCTCTTTTAAACCTGTAATTTTAAACTTTTAAAAACTTAATTTTAGTCTAACTTGTTTTAATTCATATACTGTATGAGCCGCTTTGGTTTACAAAAAAATTAAGAAACTCACAGTCTAAAATTCTGTGTGAAATTTCTTAATGGCTCTAATGAAGTTTGAACATATTTTCCTGAGTCTTGCAAAGAAAAGAACAAAATCAAAAACATACGGTAACTTTGCATTACTACAGTATCCAAGGTATTTTCACTTCCTGAACTTAGATGTGGGTTACACTTTACATAAGCCACTATATTATTTGCTATAACTAACTACCCTTTGAAATGCATGCCATTTCAGCTCGGAGACATCAACCACACTCTATCCCAAGTCTAATGTCATGATTATGACACGAAAATTCATGAAGCGTTCCATATTTTTTTAATGTCTTAAAATTACATTGTTGTTTCTCTATCCCAAGTCTAATGTCATGATTATGAACCACCATTACTGAGTCTCAGTTTTCCATCTAAACAAGTTGTTTCTTCAGATACCTATCAGATTAATGTATGCAGATGCCAATATCAAATATTAAATCATAGAATCATAGAATAATGAAGTTGAAAGGTGCCTATAAGGCAATCGAGTCAACCCCTTGCTCAAAGAGTATCACAGCATTTTTACAGAGAGGTTTTTACAAGATTTGTTTTTTATATAATGTGTACATGAGACATCTGTTAAAAAACCTGAAGTGTTCCAGTGTTTACAAAATAGTGCCAAAATTCTTGTTATATCATACAATTATCAATAGATGAATGCATTACAATTAGCAGCATATGCTGCTAGCAGAATGAAGTAACTGCCAGATTAAGGCTCTTGAAGCAAGACAGTTCTTATTCAGATCTACAGAACTTGCATCAGAGCAACAGGCAGGGGAAAAAAATCTAAATCTATCTTGATCACTTTAGCTGCTACAATTAAACCTAGTAGCCTGAATGTTTCCAGGGAGGGATATGATATTCCAAAGGACAGAGGGACACCAGGTACTGGAGACAAGAGATTTGATGATATACCAGAAATTGTAACAGTGGAACAGGAATGCACAAATGGATGGGAAAAGACAACAAAGATGCAGTTGGAAGGAATGACACATGGTTTCAAAGGTCCCTATACCAATGCACAGAGCATTGTTGGAAACAAACAAGATTAAACCTGATCTCTTAATACAGGGAGGTAAATATGATTAAATAGACATTAGTGAAAGACAATGGGATGCGACTCATAACTGGAACGCAGCAGTTTTCAGACAGGTTGCCATGTCAGCCTGTTTCAGTATTTCTAACACAAATGAAAACAAATATTAGGGCACCTTAAAAACTAACAAATTTATTTCAGTGTCAGTTTTGTAAATAACAACCCATTTCCTCAGATGAGACAGATCTGCATTCCACATAAGGCAAAGAGGAAAATCCCTACACAAGATAATAAAAGGACACACGTATGATATCTCAAATAGCAATGCACAGAAGCCTTCTTGAACACTTCAACTTCTCAGAACACTAGTGTATATCTCTAGTGTGGACAGAAGGAATTACAAAGGAAGATTCAGGAGAGAAAGAGACAGTGGATAGGGGCTATCATCCCAAATTCCAATCTACACTGAAAGGATTAAATAAGGAGCAATGATTCTTAGCACGCTATATATAGCAATGCAATTGACACTCTCTTTTCTCCATTTCACCTGAAATGCAGTTTGCTAAGACAGACAACTTTAGTGCAGAAATCTGCACCCACCTTCTGTCCACCTGTCTGCCTTCGAACAGGTGGTTCATATTTGTTCAACCTGGTTGCCCAGGTATATCATCTTTGCTGGGATAATAATGCAAGTCCAACCCTGGTGAGTCCTCTCTTTGTTCCACTATTTGGACTTCATCTATTGAGCTTACACCAATTTCACTGCTTATGCACAAGATAGTCAGAATGAGGTAGTCATTATGTTGCCCTTGCTAGATACTGAAAGACATTTAAATGTGTCTTTAAATTGTTAAAGGGTAGCCAAATTGGTCATATAAGCAAATTACTGTACTTGCTCTATCAGCACACAGTCTGGAACAAAATAGGGATTAAACATTTAAGTCTTCTATTTCTCTTTGTCTAAATATAAGGAAAAAAATGACCCCTTCTTCACTTGTATCACCATGCTTTTACAGGGTTTATAGTACTTCTGTCCTATATCTTGTTTAAAACAACAAAACCTTCCAGAAAAAGCTTTCAAAAATGTAGCTCCCAAAAGGTGACCAGCAGTGTCCTACATATATGCTGAATGACATCTTCCTGGCTTAAGTGATACATTCATTGCACCCATATTTTTAAGTAAAACTTTAAATAAATAACATTTTTGGTTCACTTGTGTGCAGTGAATGCACTTATAATATTACCCTTTAAAAATTCAGCTTTAACTATGTACCAGTAAAGTCCAAGACATATGCAAAAATTTGCGGACCTGAAAACATACAGTTATACATACATTTTGTTCACGGGTGATAGTAACATGTAACAAAAATAACCAATTTCCATAAAGATGCACCTGGCATATATCATTAGAGTACTTTAAAATTTCTGTGTGCAATGCAGAGCTTAGATATCCAAACAGCTCCAAATAAGAGAGAGACACACTGAAATTGTTATAACATTCAAAACTTCAAACCCAAAACATGTTTCTTTAAAAATGTATATTCCGTAGCTTTGGTATTCATTTGTAATCAGGAATGCACAATAAAAGACATTATACATTTTGCAGACACTACAGGGTATATACAGTAGACATTTTACTACATTGTCATCTCAGTGTTCTTTTTTGGCACTGAACACAAATAAATAAAATTACACCTGTATTAAGCAAATTAAATTGTGAGCAGGAAAAGATAAGGAAATTAAACTGTATTAATGAATTTACCTCCGAAGTTCAGGACTGCTAATTGACTATTTCCTTAGGAAAAGCAGTGCAGTAGCAAGGATGGCTTTACTTGTTAGCAAAGGAAGAGCAAAAACTTTAACAAATCATAATATATTTCAGTATACTTAACACACTGCTATTAAAATCAGTCCTTAAAATATAAATACATACATTAAAAAAAATTCATACCCTGATCTAAAACCTCTTCCTCTTCCCTTTTTGGCTGCTGCATTCTAGAACCCGTGTCTCCATTTCTCATATCTGAAAAAAAAAATTACGGGAAAACTAATGTCCACATTGAACACAAAGTTAAGGGGAGACAGGAGAGAAAGGGACATAAATCCACCTATCTATACATACTAGCTTTTTCAACTAAAATTAGTCACAGTGGGTAGGATTCAGAGTTAGCCATGTGCAATTGGTCTGGAGGAAGCAAAACTCCTCCCCAAGGCAGCCCTTCCAATACTCTCAAAATGCTATACAGAAGCAAATTCTCAGAAAAGATGCCTCTACCCACTTTTCAGGGATCCCTTCAGCACCTTGTACCCTAATTCACCTAGCAAGATGCCCTGACCAGCTGCCAGTACGACTGCAGGAGTTGTTTGGGAAAGCATAGGAGAAGAACCTACTGTGACGTTTACCACGTGGCCCCTTGTTTCACCAAACAAAAGGAGCTCATGCTATGTCCTCCCACCAGCAGATAGCAATTGTGACGTTCCCTCTTTTTCTCACTGCCACCAGTGGATTTCCTTTATCCACAACGTAAAAGATTTTAGTCAGACACTTTTCTGGTTACTGCCAACAGAACTTATTTATCGAAGTGTATTAAATTAAATCAGAATCACAGATGTTCTTTATTCAGTGCATACAATCGAATCATTTAAATATCATATATCTTCCCACGTACTTAATCACCACCTGCTCTATCTATTAACTTTGACCAGTTTATCTCTCTTAGTATATTTTCTCCCTTTCTCCCTGACTATCTCTCTCTCTCTCTGCAAATTCTATCTCTCCCTGCCAAAACCTTCTTATATCCCCTGGCTCCACCCCTTGACTCCTCTCATAGGCTCATGGAAATGAGATCTTGAATATGAGTGACAGGAGTGACGTGGGGCAATCGTCACACCTACTGTCAGACAGCACACCCAGAATAGAAGAAGAACAGGGCAGACTGTACAGGGAAATCAGGAAGGTAGAAGGTCTTGTTTACTTTGCTTAACTGTAACTATAACTGATAGGATTCATAGGCATCCTTCAGTCTCGAGAGACTATGGAAACATGCTCTGAATCAAGGAGTGTCCTCTCCAGAGCATGAAGCCTGGATAAAGTAATAAGGAGGATAGGCTGTTACCCAAGCAGCAGGCAGGAAAGTTTTAAGGCTCAGATCATACTTCCGCACTATCAAAGAGCAGGCTGGATAGTTGGGGCTCGTCAGCCATGGAAGGCAGCCAATCTAGGAGAAGGAAAACTCCAATTTCAAACCTCCACTGCCTTGTGGCTATATCCACTCATGGAAAAGGCTTCAGGAGTTAACCTAGAGGGAAAATCTGGAGCTGGAGTCCCAAAGGCAGTTCGTGTCGTTCTGCCAACTCCTGCGACGTTGCTGGAACCAGTTGTATTGGCTCTTGCCTTTCCATTGGACCATTTCAATTGATAGGATATGATACCAGTAAAATGTGTTTCCTATATTCAAGCTAACTTACTCAATTACTATACCTATCTAAGATAAGCTATCTAAGAAGTGGGGTTGATTGGGTAATTTTTAAAAGCATATACAATAACTTTGTATGCACAATTAATCAAGTGTCATTTGAAACAATCTGGGCTAGTGCCTTGCCTAAAACATTCCAACAAGGTACTTCTCAGTAAAAGAAAAAATTTGAAGAGAAGGTCTGTTTCTCAGTATAGAGGAGCTAATTAATCTGTATGAGGATTTTGTTTTGTCTGATAAGAAAAGAGACTTGAAAAGGGCAGTGGCATATCAGACAAATGTGAGAACAACAGACATCTAGGATGCTGATCAGGTCAAAAGGGAGAAAAACAGCGTTTACAACATTAAAAACGGATCCCGGGTGGTTTAAGACCAATTGTTACTACAGCAGTCCCCACACATCCATGAGTGATCCATTTCAGGATTGACCATGGATACCTAAAATCATAGGTAGGAGGGTACTCATTTAAGAGAGCAAGAAGGGGGAAGATTGAGATGTGGAAGTAAGTGTGCATGCACATTGCAGGATGGGTTGCAGTAGCTGCGACCATGGATAACTGAAATCGGGGATACAGGGAAACTATTGGATAGTCGAAAACCTGACACGTGGATGATATAAATATCAAGCCAAAACCTTCTTATATAACCACAGATCACGTTTTCACTGGATGCACTGTACTTCCTTTAATCATCTGTATCTTTCAAAATCTCCAATTCAATTTGCATCCTCCCCTCGTACAGGTGTAAAATATCTCTTGAACTTCACCAAACTAATTGGGTAACCAACAATGCCAGATGTAGGGGTGCTTGTGTCATATTTCATTAGTGTCTGGCAGTGTCTAAATGAGAATCTTAATTCTCTTTTCTCATGGTTTAGGGACCAACCATTAGTGCCATTCTGTTTCTCTTCTCCAAACCTTTTGACAGACTTGATGCTAAAAAACAAGGTACATCCCCATAATGAATTGCACAAATTGCACAAATTCACAATGTAAGCCTGCATAGCAAGGTGAACAACAAACAACATTTGTACATGCTGACAAACAAAAGAAGAAAACTTTTCATCTTGTCATACACACTTTCTGCATCAGAGAGAACTAATGAAGATGGAATGTCTGACCACTCTGGTTGAAATCACCACCGTGATGGCTAATCCAAAGGAACATCTGCCTATTAGATATACATTCTGTTATATGGAATATGTATACAATAGAGAAATGTGCCAATCTTCAAAGCAGAACTAGCATAATACAAGGTGTTCCAAATTCTTATGTTAGTTCCCCAATTTTTTCAATGGAGATTTCAGAGAACAAAATGCAGTGTGTGCACTAGTAGTAGGCATCCTTTAGTCTCAAGAGACTTTGGTAATGTGCTCTGAACAGAGGTCTTGGAACAACGTCTAGTGTGGCTGAGAAGGAAAATTCGAGAGTAACAATCCCTCCCACACTGAAGACAAATACAGTCTGTCACCTGTCCAGCTCCCTGATTTTGCTGGTTTGGGGACTGCCTCTATGCCTCGGCCTGCTGAACAAGTGCCTCTTCAAATTGAGAGAGTCCGTGATGCAATGCCTGCCTCCAGGCTGAACACTCAGATGTCAAGGTTTCCCATCTGTTGAGGTCCATTCCTAAGGCTTTCAGATCCCACTTACAGATATGCTTGTATCACAACTTTGGTCACCCTCTGGAGTGCTTTCCCTGCACGAATTCTCCATACAGGAGATCTTTTGGAATCCAACCGTCAGCCATTATCCCAACATGCTCAAGCCAACGTAGACATTGCTGTTTCAGTAATGTATACATGCTAAAAATTCCAGCTCATTCTAGGACTAATCTATTTGGAACTTTGTCCTGCCAGGTGATACCAAAAATGCGTTGGAGACAAAACATATGGAATGTGTTCAGCTTCCCCTCCTGCCGTGCACAAGGGATCCAGGACTCACTGCAGTAGTGCAGTGTACTCAGGACACAGGCTCTATAGTTCTGGATTTTGGTGCATGCCGTCAGCTTCTTATTAAGCCATACTCTCTCTTTGTGAGTCTAGAGAACATGGTAGCTGCTTTGCCAATACGTTTATCCAGCTCGACATCTAGTGAGATGGTGTCAGAGATCGTTGAGCCAAGGTACACAAAGTCATGAACAACCTCCAATTCTTGTGTAGAGATTATAATAGAGGGAGGTGAGTCCATGCCCTGGCCCTTGTGTTTTCTTCAGGCTGATTGTTAATCCACAGTCTTGGCAGGCCTTGCCAAAACAATTCATGAGTTGTTGGAGCTCTTCAGCAGAATGGGTGACAACAGCTGCATCATTGGTGAAAAGGAAGTCCGGCATGCATTTCAGTTGGACTTTGGTCTCAATCTTTCCATCTGATCTAGTCTGGAGATAGACACCTTCTGCTGCAGTTCCAAAGGCGTGCTTCAGCATGACAGCAAAAAAGATCCCAAACAGGGTCAGCACAAGGACACAGTCCTGATTCACTCTTCTTTGGATGTCAAAGGGATCTGATGTTGAACCATCAAAAACTATGGTGCCCTTCATTTCCTCATGAAAGGACCTGATGATGTTAAGGAG